AAGAAGATTGCAACTATGCCAAGATTCATGGAGAGTTGAACATGGATGTTTATAATGCAAGAACACCTTTTTGTAAAAAAAAATAAGCAAATGTCGGAAATGCTTCTTTTTGTCGTTTGAAAACTCCACTTTGGAAGCTATGAAATTGTCACTGGTCAGCTTTCCGTGTACCAAAAAGTCCATTATAAAGAACATGGTTACCTTCTTCTACGCGCATCTTCCTGCAAAACAACTGCCTTCCAGAAAAATGAGGGCAAGAATGAAAACGCTACGAACATTTGGAACGAGCTAACATTTGCAAGAGCTTTGTATATAGGCAATACTACTTTTAACGTTTGAAATTACCTGCATGTCGTGATTGCTTGTCGTTGAAACGGATTTCGTTATAGAAGAGGCAATTTTGAATTCAAGTCTATATTTTTTAAGTCATTTAGGTGAGCATTTATTTTAACCAATATTGAGACCAATCCTAAAGCCCTGAAAAATTTTTCGTTTCCAATTCAAGCATTTCTGTTTATAATTTTCGGCATGCATATGATTGCAACTGAAGAATGAATATATGATGACGTTGTGTCTGATAAATTTTTCCCTATTCGTTTCCACACTGATCTTGTCAAGATACTACGGTCCCTCTTGACGCACTATGTACATGTACCACCTTAAATTCGTGAGCTCTAAGTTAGCCGTAAAGAGAGGAGGTTTCACCTCAGAAGCACCTATGTTTAGTGATGCAACAGTCTCAACGGATGGGAAATATTTGATCATTTCTATGGATGGCGGCGCTGCAGAGTCCAACTATTTGTACTACTATGAGTTGTCCAGTTTCAAACCCGCTCTTGGAAGAATTGTTCCCAAGCCGCTATTTGATAGGCTCGATGCAAAATACACAGTGAGTGACAGATGAGCTTCCTTATTTGATCTACTGCCATTCGCTTGATGTAAAGCTCGCTTAAAAACTCATCATACATTTTTTTAGTTTTCCAAGAATGAGAAATGTTGCCCACAATTCATTGAATAACTTGAATGAAGTTGTGAACAATGACTCACTACAACGTGTAGATTTTGAAAAAATTGTGCTCCAAATTTGACCTTTGCCTAAGTTGCAGTATATTGACAACGACGATGACACTATGATCATTCTCACGAACAAGGACGCGCCAAACTTCAAGTTAATCAGAATTTCTCTAAAAAACCGTTCTATCTCGGACTTGGTGCCAGAGAGTAAAAGAAGGATATTGGATGACGCCGTAGCAGTTGCGGGCCAACTTCTACTCGTAGCATACATTGCAAATGTCAGAGTGAGGTCTAATTCGATTTCATGACCGGATTAATGAATGTAGATTACCAGTTCATCAGATACCACGTACTTCACTAATTATTTAGCATGTCTTACAAGTTCATGATTTGAGAAGCGGATCCCTACTATTCAGCCTGCCTCCTCGAGGGGGGTTCGTAGTCACTTTCATCTATTCAAGAAGCATAGAGCTACACCACTGCTCACCGATACGTTTCAGAACAGTCAAGGAGATATCGGCAAAGAAAAGCAGCAGTGAAGTGTTTATCAGCTTCGAATCTTTCATTGAACCCAAGACTGTTTATCGCATTGATCTTGCTTCACGCAAGGGAAAGCATATTCCAGCATTGGAAGAGATATGGCGAAGTCAGTTCAATGGACTGGATAAGGATGACTTCATGGTGCAACAAGTATTCTACAGAAGCAAAGATTCAACTAGGGTAAAAATCGATTGACAAAAGCTTTATATGTCTATCATTGGCTTTCTTAAGGTACCTATGTACATCATCTCGGAAAAGAATTTGACAAGAAATGGTAACATGCCAGTTTTACTGAGAGGTTACGGAGGTAAGAAACTTGAACTGTCGAACCATATTTTGTTATATATCGTCTCCGTGAGCAAAGTAGCACATGGAGCTGGTAGAAGGAAGTAGAGCAATTTTGTTCTTGAAATGCCGGAGTCACGTAAAGCACAATGCGCCTGTTTCA